TAATCTAACCTAAGCGCGAGTGTATTCACGTGGTATATAATTAGATATCATTATTTTGCATATCAAATATTCAACAATGCAAAAATTATAGAATGAAATATCTAATGTCTAAGAAATCAATTTAATATACAATTATTTTAAATTTTTTCGAAAAAAAACAAAGATGCATCCACGTAGTAAATTGACGTCATTAAACGTCAAAATGACGTCATTTGACGTCGAATGACATTAGTTTGCCGTAAGTGATAGTGTAAGTATAAGGAATAATTGCCAATGTTGTTTCAATCAGTTTGCAGCTATCTTCAAGTGAGAATTATATAAAGTGAAGTTGAAGTCATATTGACATCGAATGACGCCATTTTGACGATTAATAACATCAATTTGCTACCTGGAATATCTTATTTCATCATATAACTGCAACTTCACTCTATAATGCCTTTCCACCTGAAAATGCCGCAAACTGATTGAAACATTAGCAATTCCTTATATATATAGACACCACTTTCAAAATAAATGGCTCACTTATTGTTAGTCTTATTTAACATAAACACATGTTTTAAAATTATATACAAAGAAGAATAATTATACAAAATGTTATTGCAAAGAGAGAGAGAGAGAGAGAGAGAGAGAGAGAGATGTGCTACAAATATGTGTTGATCACATATATATATATATATATATATATATATTAATTATTATATTTTCATATATTAATTATTTACCTACAAATTTTATATTCACATATATTATTTTATTCTTACTCACCTTACGAGTGTAAAAAAATGCGCAACATATGCTGGTAGAAGCTGCAAATCTTCGATCATAATCCGGTATAAGCAGTGCGACATCGGGGACTGTCGATGTAGTAAACCGTCCTACATAATACAACATCCATCGTCGATGATTAATCGTTTCTAAGCCTCGTCATCGTGTAAATCCCTCTCGGCGATCGAGCGCTTTATTCTTTTTTTTTCACCAAAAAAACACAAAAAAAAGAATACAAAAAAAAGAAAAAACAAATTGTTTTAGAGCAATTCGCACTTTGTCTGACATAACGATGTTTTATAAATTCCACAGCAAATTTATCGCGAGATACGACAGTTTCGCGAGCGCGACCCCGTATCTCGTATTCCGTTTTAATCAAATTATTGCGAATTGTGTCTTCGTTTCCAGTAGACGGATTCAATGACGCCTAGACGAAATTTATACCAAAATCTAAGTAATCGCAAATTATAGATTAACAAAACAGTCATAAACCGTAAAATATTTTTATATATTATTATACATATTATACGTATAATTTTTTTAAATTCTTGAAAATTGAATGTTTTTTTACTAGAATTACACATAATCTTTGTACAAAATATAACAATTTTCAAGAGAGTTTTTTAAACTATTCTATACTAGAAATGCACGAAAATATACAAGTGTTTTATTTTAATTAATATAATTGAATATTATTGAAACTATGATTGTAACAAGAAAATATTTCATACAAAAATTAAAAGAATTTTGAGAAGGAAAAACAGATTAATTTTGAATTTTAATTTTAAGATTATTTTTCAAAATTATTTCAAGATTAATTTAGTTTTTTCAAATAAAATTATTCTAATTTTTTATATAGATTGCTTGTAATATTTAGTATAAAAAGTTATAAGGGTGGGATGACCAAAAATTGAATAGTTTACAAGGTATTTTATACATAGGTATATTTTAATTCGACATAATTTTACATAAAATATATTTACATAAAATTTAGTTTTTGATTTTACCTAAATACTTTTATGCACAAAATAATAAGAGGACTCAATTATGTAAGGAACACATAAGTGTTTTTAAGAAAAAGTATTTAATTTGTCTTTATTTTAGAAACAACAATGTGTTTTCTTTATACATTAATTGATTTTTCTTTACACTAATTGATTATTTTGTGTATAAAAGTATTGAGATAAAGTTATAGAAAAATAAATACCTTACGAAATATTTTATGAAAAATTATAATATATATGTAATTATTAAAAAAATTAATAGTATAAAATATCTTATAAACTATTTTTTTGACCATTCTATTCTTATAACTTTTTATGCTAAATATTGTGAAGAATTAATTTATGTGAAAAAATTAGGTTGAAATCACTACTTCGAAATCTCTTAATGTACAAAAGATTTTGTCGTTACAGTCATAATTTCAGAAATATTCGACTAATTAATTAAAATATGAAACATACTGTATAATCAGCAGGTCATGAAATATTATTCTGTACAATATTTTTCTCTTTTAAATATATCTTCCGATTTGTACACAAGGCCAGAAAGGACGAGACAATAAAGAATAGATATTACATCGACGTATAATTAAATCCAATCTCCCTTATCATTTTTTAAAGCGGGCAATCGCGCACAGGAGACACTATATGCAGCAACAGCAGCATTGACTCTGTATGCGGACATATAGATTGTATTAGGACCGAACGCGCGTACTCTTTCTTATTCCGGCTTAATCCAGGGGAACGACTGTAGTAAAACGGATCAAAGGGGGATCATACCCGGGGGTAGATATCCCCGCCCACTCGTTCACCCGAACGCTCGTTTCGGCTCGTTTCTCCACCTCGATTCGCCACCTTGCAAGCTATCTTCTCACTAACCTCTGACTCCGGCGGAATCAAGATTAGGAGGGGAGATCGGAGTCGAAAGAGAGAATAAGAGGGTGGGAGGGGATGAAAAGAGGGAGGACGGGAGGGATGGAAGCAGGACAAGAGAATTTCGCGCGGCGAGAAACGATTGCTTTTCCGCTCGCCGGATTTTATCGAGTTATCGAAACTCCATCGACACCGAGACACATTTCATTCCATCCAGATCTCGTATCTCTGCACGCGCCTGGTAGGCATTTAATATTAGATATTCGCGTGAAATTTTTTTCTCGCGACGCGATGCGTCGCTGTCTGTATGTATATTTTTTTTATTTTTTTAACAAGGAAAATTGACGACGTCGATGATCAGTATATATGCATTTTCTTCCCAGGTAGCAAGCACATATACGTTGATAACGTCATTAAATGTCATTTTGACGTCTATATGACGTCAATTTGTTATTTGGGTCTCTTCTTGCATTTTTAAGATGAAAAAGAGTGATAATGTCAATAATTCATTTTTCAGACTAATTAGCAGCTATTGTATATAAAAACTTAATCTATTTATTTATTATATATATTATATATATTGTATATATTTTCCAAGTATAACAAACTAACATCATTATAAAAACATCAGAATGATGTAATTTTGATGTTTAATGACGTCGTTCGACGTCAAAATGACATATGCTTGCTACTTGGGTTATGTATACATATAATTATGGTTTTCATATGATCTCAAGTAGTAAATTGACGTCATTGAATGGTCATTAAACGTCAAAGTGAATTTGACATTCAATGACGTTGCATATCTGACGTCCAAATGTACGTTTGCTATATTGGATCAATTAAAACCTAGGTAGTAAGTATATGTCATTTTGACGTCAATAACAGACGTCAAAGTAATATTATTTTGTACAATGACGTATGTCAGTTTGCTACTTGGGAATAAGTCTCTTAAAATGTAAAATATTCCATTTTTACTCCTTATTTCTCATTACAAGGATACAAAACGCACACATACAGCGAATTTCTATTGTTAAGGCCGTTCTACAATGGAATATTGTAGATGGTAGTCGTAAGAAATTGACCTGTCACAATTGATTATTTTTGAAATAATCGACTGTGGTTTGTCAATTTCTTACGACTATCACCTACGATACTCCATTGTAGAAGGCCCTTAAGACCGGGTCTACAATAGGTGTAGTAAGCTCTAGGCAAGAAATTGACCAATCACAGTCGATTATTCCCCTCATTCTTGACTGTGATTGGTGAATTTCTTAAGGCTTAAAGCTTGCTACACCTATTGTAGACCTGGCCTAATGCAATTTACCGAAGTGACAGTAATTTATTACGTGCTGTTACGACTTTTCCTTTCCGTCTCATTTGCATTTATATAATATATATATATATATAATTCATTTTTATTCATTATATATACACACACATATTTTACACTTTCACCCTATTTTAAAGCGATATATATATGGTTTCTTCGAATTTCCTGTGATTAACTTTTCCACATTTATCCTCAAATATATATTATTTTTATTTATTTGCATATTTTATTGTTTTAGGAATTTAAAATTGCACGATTTGAAAATACAATATCAAAAATACGTAATAAAGAAATTATAAGGAATTAATCTTTGAAGGAATTAATCGATGGGTTAGCACCACACATAACCGCACATATGCACGTATACACATGCATATACGCAAATGCGTGAAAATTTATTAATATATAACTTTTTTATTAGGTTTGTAATCTCACTTCTAATTGTTCATTAATATTCTTTCATGTTAGCCCTATTGCGCGAGCTCTATTGCCTATTCTTTCATGTTAGCTTTATTGCCCCTATGTCTTATGCACAGACAAACTGCAGAATTTTTTTTATTAAATAAGTATTGTTACGAACTGGCACAAAAGAACCCGATAACAAAACTGTAATTTTTCATTTTTATATGATTTATATATGGAATTATAGCTAGTGTAGTCCGTTTTTATAAGTACTTTAATCATGGAAAGGGATTTATTGATCTGTATAATCAATATAAAAAATATCCTAAAATATTGTGATGGTGATAAAATTATATATATATCTTTCTATATAATCTCAATATAACCACAGATTAATAGATCTATTAATCTGTGATATAACGTCGTTTGACATCAAAGTTGCGACATCTTCAATTGAATAAATGAAAAACGAAATTAATAAGCACTGTTTTATCAACACAGTTGCAGTTTACGATTTTACCAGCTGAGGATAGGTTGATCTGTTTAATTCACAGCGTTGCTGTAGTGTCGCCACTTACAAGTAAACTTGCGCGCCGTCTGTGAGACTCGATAAACACTAAACAACTCTTTGAACCTCATCTTCCGGCTTTATCGCCTCGTACATTTCGATCTTCGGTCCTTTCTTTCTTTCGAGAGTAAATCGGCCAAGATGGTGAGTTTCAACACGTCAAAACGTGTTCGAAATCCAGTTTTTTCAGTTAAATCCTACGTGATACGTAGCTGAGTTTTTGAGTGAAATGATAAGTGTATCATTCCTGGATTTCCTATAAGAATATTTTCACGTATATCGAGATCAGACGCGTTTGGTTATAATTCATAACTTCTGAGAATGAATTTTGCAATTTTGTTTTTTCGAATATACTTTCTGTGAATTTGCACCAAAATTTTCCACATTTGGCGTATTTTGCGAATTTGAAAATGGTGAGGGATTATTTTCCCCGATTATTTTTTTAGTCATCACGTGTTTTGAGATCAGCTTCGAGGATATACATACACAACATCCCAAGCAACAAATTGATGTCATTAAATGTCAATATAACATCATTTTCATCTCTAATGACATCATTTGACGTCAAAATGATATTTGGCATCAAAATAGTATCATTTAATATGGCAAAATGGCATCATATGATATCAAAATGACGTAACTTACTACCTGGGATGCCAATACACCAATACTAATAGACTTTAATTATTTACAGTCGCTCGTGATTCCTGAGAAGTTCCAACATATTCTTCGTGTCATGGGCACGAATATCGACGGTAACAGGAAAGTCATGTTTGCCATGACTGCGATCAAGGGTGTTGGTCGACGTTACGCCAATATTGTGTTGAAGAAAGCTGATATTGACTTGGACAAGCGAGCTGGAGAATGCTCGGAGGAAGAGGTGAGTCGATTTATTTTTCTACAATTAAAAAATTTATTTTAGCATCGCAACATATATATTCAAATCACTTTCTAAAAATGCTTTCAGGTTGAAAAAATTGTTACTATTATGGCCAATCCTAGGCAGTACAAAATTCCAGACTGGTTCCTCAATAGGCAGAAAGATATTGTTGATGGAAAATATTCGCAGGTATGAATTCATTTTGGAAAAGGAAAAGAAACCTCATTGCAAACTATAAACTTGTTCATGGTGCGATAGCACTTTAATTAAAATTGAATAACATCTCTGTCCAATCAGGCATAAAGATACATGTTTTTTTTCCAATAATTTATCTTTCTTTATAATACATCTTACAAATCTTATCGCACAAATTCACGACTGACTGCGCAAACGTTGATTGTACATTCAGTTGGTAGCTTGTGCAATAGTAACTGCACTGTTGTACGTTTAAATTGCTTCGTAGTATCTCTTACTTTTTAAGTAACAAGTATGAGTGCAACAAAGAGATCAAGAGTATTTACAGATATATGCATTTGCTAAATAAAGATATATCTATAAATTGTGTGTTATTTCGTGTTACAGCTTACCAGCGCCAACTTGGACTCTAAACTGCGTGAGGATCTGGAGAGAATGAAGAAAATTCGTGCTCACAGGGGCCTGCGTCACTACTGGGGTCTTCGTGTGCGTGGTCAGCACACCAAGACCACCGGTCGTCGCGGACGCACGGTCGGTGTGTCGAAAAAGAAGTAATTTATACATATATTGTACGTATTAACAATAAATTTTTAAACAATAAGCGTTTTCTATTATTTATTAACATTGAACAGAAAAACAGCGAATTGCGAAGCAAATATTGGATCCAAGAATCAACATGTCATATATATATATATATATATATATATATATGTGTGTGTATATTACATTTTATACATATATGTATAATCTTGAAACAGTAATTTATTTAGGGTTTCTGGAACTCCTGACCGACCATATTAGAATTGTAATGTCAGAGACAAGAAGACACAAGCTAAAAATTCTTAGATGCCATTTTGAAATAAAAAGATATTTCGATGAAACACAACTTTAGATAACTTTAGCATGCTTTTAAAATAATAGACTATTTTTCATCTTGACAGCCAAACAACCGTAAAATAATTGTGATATCAGATTTTGTAAAACAGAATAACTACACATGAGAAAAACTATATGGATCGGGCCTTATATTGTAGTCATTTTACAGCTATTGATTGGATTATATATATATATATATATATATATATATATATATATATATATATATATATATATATATATATATATATATATCTTGTTGATTAAATATTATTTCATTTAAAAATGGCATCTAAAAACTTTCAGCATGTGCTTTTTCATTTCTGACGGCACAATCTAACATGATCGCGGCGAGCACAATTTTACCGACAAAATGTTAATTTGTAAATTTTGTTTTATTGCTTTTATAAAATTAAAATCCTTTTTAGGGATTAAAGTGCATATGTTAATAAAGGCATTGATGATTATCTTTGATTAAAAAAAAGGAAAGAAAAATTTCGAAAATTTATCGACAAACTGCCATATAAATATTTATTTTATATTAAAGTTATACAATTTGCAAGTACAAAATAAGACAAGGAGGGCAAGGAAAAGTGAAATCATGACAGGAAACCTTTAAAATTTAGTTTAGAGGTTTAGCCTTAAAAATAACAAAGTCAGATTTATGTAAAATATATACAATATTGAAGTAGTTACATAAAAAGGAGCAATAAATAAGTTCCCGGATATTGTACATAAAATTTTTAGTGTATATATATATATATATATATATATATATATATATAAAAGCAATAAAAAATAAAATTACAAGTAACATTTTGTCGGTAAAATTTTTAGAATCAGTTCCAGCATCACCTTAAATCGAAATCTTTAATCTTTTGGTCCTAACAAAACGAACCGCTTTTCAAGCCAAATGAGCTAATTCTAATTTTAAGCTGGAAAAAGCGGAAGAGTAATGGGTTCTAAAAATGCAATTGACAATAGATGTAGTAGAATAATTTCTCTAAAGTGTCTCAACGACGTATAATAAGCGTCTCCAAGTATACTTTGGGCACCTTTCCTCGTTGATTCCCTCTAATTCCCATGAAGTAATCTTCGTCATCGGGAATTTCATAAATACCGATTACCTAAAATATATATATATCTAATAAGATATATTTATTAAGATACCACGATACTTTATATACAATCAATACGTTGTATCGACTATAATATACAATAAACAACTATATGTAGCGTCAATACATTCAGATAAATTATATAGAAGGTACAATAGATACAATAATTTATATATATATTTAGTGAACGAATAAAATGCTCTTAACAAAGTAAACATTTATTGATAATACATGCACAACTCGAATAAATATACAATAACTCGTACATATACGAGTACATTTGTGATTTTAGCCCTTTCGGGCTGAACAAGTTTGATATTTATGTTATCTTACAAATCTATATAGAGGCATAGAAAGGAGTGTAATACAAGAACGTTAACATTGATACATTGATTAAAAAAAGAATAAAAAAATTAATGCATATATAAATTCAAAACAAACATCTTAAAAATTAATACAATATACAACATTTATCATGCATAAATAGTACAATTCATATACATGTATAAGTCGGGTGTGAGTGTGTAACTGGTAATCTTATAGAGATAAAAATGAACTTTTTTTTAAATCAAGATAATCGATTAATCAACATTTCAATTCATTTTACAATTTATATGATAATATTTTCTTCAAAAAATCGCGTACATATTTATTGATGACTTTCGTAGAATGATACATTTATGTCACTAATATTGCATCATTATAGATATTATTAAGCTTATTTTCTATTACATAGTACGCGTTCAATGAAAATAATTCTAATTATCTTTGCATTAAAACTAATTTACACGAGTATCATAATCTTTAAAATTTCTCGCTAAGTTTTTTTCGTTTCTCTCTCTCTCTCTCTCTCTCTCTCTCTCTCTCTCTCTCTCTTTAACAATGGGTGTAGTTTATAATAATAAATGAGTAATAAATGAGATTTTAGTACAATCACATATTTAGATATGTAATATTTTATAAATAAACAATATAACAACATATACAGTAAGAGTAAATGTTCAAGTATTATATTGTATTAGTATTAACAGAGAGCTATTTGAATATTTATACAAATACGAGCGCATCTCGATTTAAAACTTATAGTAGTAAATAACAAATACTTAAGTCTAACGAATCAAGACATTTTTAAAATCTTTTCGGGGTAAATTTCTCCGGATTTCGCGGTTCCAGTCCGAATTTTTTACGAAACTACAGAGTGTCCCATAGGAAATTGTTGAAACTAATCAGCTGTAATTTTTTAATACATGCAGTTATTGAGAAAACAAAAATCGTGTTGAAAAGAGAAAAATCTACAGTTTTTAATGGATATAAAATAAAAGGTTCGTATACCAGTTTATTTTGTTGAAAAAAAGTAACGAAAAAAGTGCTAATAATCATATATATAAACTAATGAGAAATATTTTCGAAGTGCGCACCATTTGAATTTGTACAAAATTCTGTTATGAAAACTTGTAAAAACTTTTTCTAACATATCATTTTTAATGTTATTGACGATCCTTTTAATAGTCATTATATTAAATCTGGCACTGTTGAAAATATTTATCATTAGTTTATGTGATTTTATGTGATTGTTAGTACTTTTTTCATTATTTTTCAATAAAATAAACTGATATACAAACATTTTATTTATACCCATTAAAAACTGCAGACTTTCCTCTTTCTAACACAATTTTTGTTTTCTCAATAACTGCATGCATTACAAAATGACAGCTGATTAGCTTTAGCAATTTCTTGTGAGACACTGTATATCAACGATAGGATCTCAAAAAGATTTAAGACTTAAAACTAAAACGGATAGATTCGAGGGAAAAAGAGATATAAAAAGAAAAGAAATTTTTCTAAAGTGTACGATTTATACAAAGGAAAATATAATTGATAAAAAAAGAGAACTTTATATAATACTAAGTAATCTTATAATACCATAACTTGTATAATCCGACTACAAATCATGCCTTTCGCTTATACAGAGTGATTCAGATCGAGTGTAACAAACTTTGACAAATTATTTGGAGGGGTCATTCTGAGCAGAAAAATGTTAATAGGTTTTATTTCCATATTTTAAAACATGTTAGGTTCTACAATTACTGACGTGGTTACAGAAGTTTTAATTTTACTGCTATCATAGTAAAATTATATGCTAGGAAGTGACTTTGAGAAATCAAAACAATTAATAGAATATGCAAACATTATTTATTTAGAAAGAAATATTTTTATCGGCTCTCAATATTAAGAATATAAATATGATGTTTTTTAAATCGGCCAACAGAGCCAAAGCACGAAAAATTAATTATTCGGAACTGTATCTCTTGGTTTGAGATTACTAAGTTCCATATATAAATTAATCTCGAAACTTACATATGGAGAAATAGGCGCGAAAAATATAGGTCCGAAAAGTCGCTTATTTACTTTAAGTCGATTATTTATTTACAATTCAGTTTTGTAATAAATGCTCAAAAAAATTTCTCCCTCAGCTTAAAAGCATACATTATAAATTTAAATATAAAAATAAAAATTAGATTTAGATGGTTAATCTTTTGGAGGTAGGAAAAAGATCCTGTTCACGCGTTTATTTAAATATCGAAAGGTACAATTAATATAAAATTCATGCTTGGAGAAGTTCAAATTATTGTATTTAATCCCTCGTGAAAGTTTCTTAGATTTCCGTAATAATTTTCGTATCAAGGTTTTTAAATTCGCTGAATTCGAATATGACATCAAAATTTCAACATTCAAAATGGCGGATCTAAAATATTGACATATTTTTGATAAAGTTTAAATAAATAATTATTTTTAAGTGATTCTTTTCAGCAAAGTTTGATCTGCAATTTATAATAACAAAATTCAGATACATGTATCTTAATTTAGCGATCTCGATATTTTAAACAAGTTTCTCGAGAGGGGGACACCTGATAGTAACTTTGATCTTGACCTTAGAGTCTAATTTAGGAGACATTTTAAGGTCAACTTGATTTTTTTCATATCATATTCTTGTAGTCGACGTCAAGAGCTTTTCAAAACACTATAATAAAATATTTTTCATAAAGTACTTTCTATGAGTCTTCAAATGAAATCCTACAACTGTTGTATAAAAAATTTTTTTCTATCTCGATTATTTCACGAGATATTGTGTGTGTCGTATCTCCTACATACACAGTGAAAGGGTTAATTGCATATTCTTATTGTTATAATTTAATTGTCAATAACTTTTTAATAAACAATGAGAGATGGTTGAAATTTCTTAGATCTTAGATGTCATTATGACCTTGACATGTTTTCAAGGTCAAGGTTATTTAATTGTTAATAACTTTTTAATAAATAATGCGTGATGGCTAAAACATCTTAGATCTTGGATGTTACTCAGGATCATGATCTTGATATGTTTTCAAGGTCAAGGCTATTGAGTTCCCTAGCATGCAGCATATTTATCTTACAATATCTTGATTCTTTGATGTAATGACGCACACGTTTGCGGAAACTATTTTTGCAGACAATCTGTCAAAGTTCGTCATACTCCGGTGTGAATCGTCCCAAACAACACATGCTACCTCTAGATCACAAATTTCGTTACCTCGTCCTGCATAACGCTCAGCTCGCTAGGATCCCTCGCGTCGTAATTGCACAATACTCTCGCTCGGTCCTGATCGTTCTCGGATAGTGCATTGGTAGTGGCTGGTGGTGGTGGGGTGGTATAATAAGGACCCCCAGATAGGCTGGGTAGGATAAATGATAAGTGAATACGAATTACGCGATATTTATTCTTAATAAACTCGTATATTAGGGGTGAAAATGTAGAGGAACTCAAACTGCAATTTCGATGCAGAAGAATAGGTATTTGTATACCCCAATCTATATCATTTTAATCGATACTAGGGTGAGAAACTGTACTTTGACATCATCAATTATGTGTAACGCAAAGTAATTGATATGTATTTTTTATGACACATATTTACAAGGATAGCTTATGTTGAGCTATAGAAATGTGTTGTTAGAGATGTAAAAAAAGTTTATTTTTCTAATAAAAAAAAACAAATTTTTTTGTTATTTTTTAAAATATATTTTTCTTTTTTGTTAATATAAAAAAATTAAGTTTGTATATTTTTAATTTATACATTTTTTTATTTATTTAAGCAATATCGGAAGCCAGAGCAAATGAATTAGATGATCAAACTATAATGAGTTTGGAATTTTTTTAGATTCTTCTATAATAAATTTCGAAAATTAGAAGTTACGATTAAAGTATTATTTAAAATAATATTAAAAATGTGCATTAAAAAAATTACAAACTGTATATTTTCTTTTATCTATAATAAATATAATTTATTTAAGTTCAATTTTGATTTATTTTTGCAGAATTTATTTAATTAAAAAAATTGAATTGAAATAGTAATTGCATCTAACTATATAGTCAATTGGAATGCAAGTTATATTTAAAATAATAATAGTTAATTCAAATCTATCATCTGAAATGTAAAATAATGAAAAATTAATTTATAGTAATCAAAATATAAAGACATTATATATGTAAAAAAATTTTTTTTTGAAAACGTTTTTATAAAAAAATTATGAAAAAAATTTTTTTCTATTTACATCTCTAGTTGTGTACGTATCTATAGCTCTATATACACATTAAACGTTTATATTTTACAGCCAAACAAATTAACATTTTTTTTATCTTTGTAGAAAACAGGCATATTCATAATCAAATTCTACATAGTTGTTATTCAGTGAGCGAAATAATCATAAGCGTTTGATTTTATATCGAATCAAATCGATGCATGCAATTTTTTTCGGGAGGATTGAATTTCGTATATGATATTTCTTATATATTCAAATTACAAATTAATGTGTTTTTCAAGTCTACAGGATAGTGCATGCATTACTGTTACACATTTCCAGTGTCAAATATATCAGATGAATGAAAATTTAATCTCTCTCAGTATATAAATTTAGTCAGATTGAACAATTATATCTTGTACGCGCAACAATAAGAAAAGCGTGATTTGTATCTATCTACAATTGTATGTCACTGTGTGTGTGTTTTTAGTTACATGGCATTATTACAGCACCGAGTATTAGTTTTCTCTTTGATATCATCGTGACTATTCTCGGTCGAGTTACGGCGATCTATAAAATAAAAAATAAATAAATAAAAAAATTTTTTTAAATGCTCTCGAAAACGATATTAAAATTATCAAGAAGTAGAAGAAGAGAAGAAGGATGCTAGATTGTGAGATCGCCGTAAATCGTTTACAAGGGAATATTTCTAGGATATATACAATTATACAAAATTATAGTGTGTTTAGTTCGATGTTTCAAGTTTGGGTCGACGATTAAGCTCGTGTTTGAATTTACATACGCAGGGTGTATACTCAAATCTTAAAAAGAAATTCCCTGAGGATTCCATGATTTTCCAGATACTTTTGTCTAATTCCAGGTAAAATTAAAGTATTTTAAATAATATTTAGAATACAATTTTGAAATAAGTTTATATGTTATACATGATTTTTTAACATAAATGAAGTATTTTTTAGTATAATAATGTAATTTAGTATTATATTATAATAAAATACATTTTAATATACACTTTATATAAAACTATTTTAAAATCAAAGGGACAATTTTTTTTTAATTCCCTGAGTTCAAATCAAATTCCATGATAATTCTAGGATTTTTCAAGGTAGGACAAAATTCCCTGAGAATTCAAAGTTTTCCAGGTTTTCCAGGGAGCATACACCCTGAATACAAGAAGGTACGTGAATTAATTAATTATTAATTAACTTGACAATAAACACCACTGTTAGAAGAAGAGAGAAAATGTAGTGTAACAACTAATACGCAATAGATGCAGAATTCGCGTAACAACAATCCGTCAACGAGATCCATGAACGAATAAGTAAATTAAATTTTACTAATATCAGTGTCGAACGTGGCGGTAACGTAAGCGGTAGATCCGGTGGTTACAGGCGATGAATTTTGAGGGTAGACAGATGAGTTAACAGGGAGAGTGGGCGAGGGAGTTAGCTCGATCACTTCCTCGCTGTTGACTCTCAGCAAAGGGCTCGGTTGACGTGCCCTGGAATTCCAATCGTGCAAGCAGAGAGAGAGAGAGAGAGAGAGAGAGAGATAGAGAAATGGAAAATGAGGCTAAACAGCGAGAGAAAGAACATTCGACCACATTGGATGTGAAGGCTAAAGAAGCTTAGGAATGTAACACCAGTTTACAAAAAATATTTTTTTTCATTATTTTAAACCAGACAAGGTGTTTCTCAGGGTTGGCTAAGTTAATGATTTTTTTAAAACTAAGTTAAGTATTTTTTTTTTAATTAATTGGTTATAAAATTAATTTGGTTAAGTTAAAAGCTTGCATGAATAAAAAATTAATTCAGTTAAAGTTAAGTTAACTGAAGTTAAAACAAAAGTTAATTTTTAAAAACACTATTTATATTGAATTAGAATTTTGTTCATTAATTCTTTTAAAATTTATAATAATAAATAACAAAGAAATTTTTATTTTTTAATAGGAATATGTATATTTTGGGGTAATTTCAATTGATGACAAATAAACAATAATACTTTAATTTTAAAATAATACGTTTATAATTTATAAAAAACAATAATGATATTTAGAGACTTAAAAAATTTAACTTAGGAAAAAGGTTAATAAGTTTAATAATTAAAGTTAAAAATTAATTCATTTTAAGTTAACTAACAAGGGAGGTTAGGCAACCCGGAAATTCAAAAAAATTCTGAAACTTGGTGTACAAATAGAGTAGTTTATCCATAACACAAAACTATTGTTCGTGTTGAATTTTGGTCTGAGGGTGTGAAATCACCCTTTATAAATAGAAGATTTTTAGCTTTTCTCGTTTTATCTCAAAAATTATTCAAAATTTTTTTCTCAGGGGCGTCTCCATACAAGTTTTTAGTTTTAATTTTTTATTACATAGTTAAAAAATACGATATAAAATTAAAAAAATGTATTTTATTAGGAATGAACAATATATCCATGTTTGATTTTTTCCAGATAACATTGTTTTTTTCTTTTTTTTTTTTTTTGGAAATCTAATGTGCTAATAAACATTGGTTTGCAGCATCATTTTTAGTACCCAAAAATCTATAAGAAACACTTTGTCTGGTTTAAAATAATTTTTGTAAACTGGTGTAATTATAAATATAGCGAAAACACTATAATACCACTACATTGTTACAAAAAGCTCGGGAAAGGTAGGCTGATAAGCGATTAAACTGTGTGTCGGCATTAGATCTGGTAATAAAAATTTAATCAAGTCAACCGGTTTTTCACCAAAGTTAAAGATATCTTTCAAAGATCAAAGTTAACTTGTTAAAACCAGCCGCGACCGGTAATGTTCGGCAAACCAAAATTCGCTGGATCCTCTGTTGTTAGCAGCGAAAAGGAGAATTACATGTAAAAAGGTTTCGTGAAATTTCATTCTTAATAACATTTAATAATAATATTGGTATCCAAATCTATTCCCGCGATTGCTCTACTGAGAAGAAGCGGAGCTCGACATCTAAAAACAGTTACTCAAGGTCATTCAAGGTTTGTCAAACATTACTCACTCGGATCACCATAAAGTAGGATAGCTGTACACAAGAAATGTCGCGATAACACATATAATTGTGCGAGGATAATGAATATGACACGTGAAATAGATAAAAAGAGAACATTTTTTTAAAGAAAAAAGTAATAAGAAACGAAAAGCGTGTAAGAATACGGCTTACCCGGCGAGTTCGCGCTGCAGATCCTGCATGACGGCGTGGCACTGCGCGTAATGACGAGTTTGGGCTTCCACGAACTCGTGCAGACATCGCAAGTGTCCGGCCTGCGAGCTGGAGACACCTTCCAACAGCAGTTTCACGATCTCCGCTTGTCGATCGAATTCCGACTGCGCTACCCTCAGCTCCCTCTCTGCCTGAGAATTGATATGTACAGATATTATTTCCTTCATTTTTCCGCTGCTATTTCATTCGTTATTAAGTGTGACAACTAAAATTAGCTGCATATATTTAATTCAATTCATAATTTAGATACACAAGGCTTTTTGTCGCAACCATGTCAGATTGTGACGTCAGAGGCGAGAAAGCACAAGCTAAAAATTTAGATATTTTTAAATGGAAAGATATTTTGATAAAACACTATTTCAGATCTGACATCACAGTCTAACATGGCTAGGAGCCTTAATTGCTCCTTTTTTGTTCCATCTATTCTACGTTCGCATAGATGAGACAACGGAATATTTAATTTAGATACATAAATATAAGGTGATTACGAAATGCGCCCTAAAAGTTTGTCCTGTATTTCATTTGTGTCCTGTATTACATTTAAAAAATGTGCTCAATATTACATGCAAAAATGTTATAAATTATAACAATTAGTAAAAACGTATCTGTAAAATGTAAAATGTAGAGTATGATTATACAAATAATAGCTATAAAAATATATATTTTTTATCACGACTATATTAAAACATATGGATCCCTAAAAAAAGCAATCAAAACTATCGATTGCATTAATATACCTGATCGAGCAACACTTCGGGTGATACGCCAGACTCCTATCAATTGCAGCAGTATGAAGGACAAAACACATTGTAAACGTATGGAACACACTTTTTAAGTGAAATTAATGACGAACGATACTTACACTCTGTTGACCAAGCATACTCCTCGCTTTCCTTACTCTATTTTTACACGCATCCAGATCCAGCCTGAAACAGGTGTTTAATATTAGTATAAGGTCTTTGATAAACAAAAGAGATGAGCGCGAATATTTCACCTTTTAGTTTCCAATATCGCCATCTCTTTGCTAACAGTCTTCATTTCTCCCTCTAAGAATTTTCTCAGAGGCTGTATGTAACAGTTGGCGGCAGTTCCTATAAAATCTCTTTCGATTTGTCCCAATTTCTGCTGGCATTGACCAACTTTTATTAATGAGCTACCTGAAATTTGATTAAATTGATATTATTATATGAAATTCTATATCCTTTATACATTTTTTTCATACTAACCATAAGCTATTCCTGGGCCAAAATCATTCCCAGCTTCTATCATATCAGTGCCCACATACTCTAAATTGCTCAAGCGATTAGGTCTCTTCTTATCAATTTTTTCAAAGAAAAAGTCTTCAATTCTATTGCCTACAACATATTGTCAAATTAATAATGTACATGTTTGTATATACAGAAGCTATAAAAGTTGAGTCTCATCTATTATATTAATATATAAATCCAAATTTAAAAGAAAACACTTAGTACCAGGATTTGGAGTAAGCACAGCTTCCATATTCCGCAGTATCTTCTCTGTCCACGTCTTGGTAGCATTTGCTCTCTCGGCTAAATGCTCCAAATGTGCATCCAACTCTGTTTTTTCCGAAGTGCCCAGTGTTTCCTCGGTCAACTGACAAAAGACAGAAATAAAGATATATACACTGCTGGTTAAAAGTTTGCCTATACAATTTATATTTAATAGGATCCTCTAACTCAGCTGACAGTTTTTTTTTTTGTTACGAATCAATTAGTCTAGTCTAACTTATATTAAAAATATATTTAAAAATCTTTCTGATCTTCAATAAAAGAATTCATAGAAACCTAATATATACAGGGTGTTTCCAGGTTAAATAACCAAACTTAAAATACGAATTTAGGATCTCAAAACAAACAAATATTTTATCTGGAAGTTTGCTCGCAACCGCTTCCTTGAAGAGATATTGACTTTTGAAATTTTAAACCATAAGGATGAATAATATCGAAATAATTTTTGGGCAACATCAGATGTCATTCTCGATGACAGGAGACATTGGACTTCGATCCGTGTTTTTTTTTCGCCTCGAAGAAGGCGAAGGAAGTCGCTCTTCCCCACCTGAACGACTCTGCTCAGGGCGGCTCCCGCGTCCTTCACCAACTTCTTCACGTTAAAATCCATTTCTCCGGCGATCAGATTATTTCACGCGCGACCGAAAGATTTCGTACACCCGACCCTTCCTTCTCGCTCCGTGCTCCGTCCTTTATATATTTATACGTGTATGTATACACTCGCGTTTTACGTATACACACACTTTATCTTCCTCTATCGATCATTAATACCGCGTGTCTCCGCAGAGTGGCGACATATTGTCGCATGCGTAAACGCGCGCGTTGGAGCTTTAACTAACTCTTCCTTTTTGTCGCATCGATGATTGCCGACAGGATTTTTTATTATTTTTTATTTTCTATATCAATATTTAAAAAAAATAGAGAAGAAAAATGTTTTTCCCCGATGCTAAATTTTGTAAATTATATTTATTTACATTTTAAGTAGCAAAAACTGACGTCCGGAGGCGTAATTACATACGAGTCTTAGGTGCCTCTACGCTGGAATTTAATTTTGCACCCCAGTGACAAATGTTCCATTATTTTGCAAAACTGCAAAAATAATTAAAAAATAAACTATCAAAATTTTGCGCCCTACTCTGGAGCATATATTGCGTACCCCCTTTCCAGGTAGCAAGCTGACGTCCAACGTCAAAATGACGTCATTTTGACGTTTAATATGATGTCAGCTTGCTACCTGGGTTGTAACGTCACTTCACTGATGTCATTACAGATGTCAAAATTAACACGTCACTTAGACGTCTAATGATGTAATTGACGTACGCTTGCCTGTGGGATTAATGAAAAATAATAGGTACAAAAAAAAAATATATTCTATATATACAGGATGTCCTATTTTAAAGATTACAGTATATTTTTATATCTCGCAAACCGCAATGATTTTATTGAAAAATGTTTCAAACAAACATATATCCCTATATAAGCGCATGATATATTATTTAATATTTAATATTCTAGGCGAATTCTTAGAATATTAAATATTCTAAAAATATACCTAGAACATTGTTTAAATATTAAATAATATTATGCACTTATAGAGATATGGGTGACAAAAAGATTTGATCATTTTGAAGGTAACGTGAAGATCATCTTTAATTTATTAAATAGAACCTATTATTTTTCATTGCATATAGTCTTATTGTAGTTTATTATCTTGAGAGTTTTCTAAAACACTTAAATGTGATAAATATATATATATATCCCCTATCAACGAACGACGGTAAAATTCCCTCTTATTTTAGAATTAAAAATATCGGTATATATTACGTGTTTTTTTTAGAAATGGATAAAGCAAAGATAATATAATGGGTTGACAGTTCGTCTATATCATTTGAGTCATATAGAGATAAAAGTAGATTACGAAACTGTAATTTCGTAATTATTTGAAAAAATTAAAGGTGATCTTTAATTATGTGACCTTCAAATGATTATTCAAGGTCAAATCTTTACCACTATATCTTACGTCCCTTTTGAAGTCAAACAACTTTTGTTTGAAACATTTTTCAATAGAATCAGTATAGGTTGCGAGATATAACATTGCGTAACTTTAAAATGGGACATTCTGTATAAGGTGTCCTATCTTATAAATATTTTTTCTTAACAATAAAAGCCTTTTACAAAAAAATGTTTCATACAAAAATTGTAGAATTTCGAGGAGGAAAGAAATTGGTACTACTGATTTTTTCTTAAAAGGCGATTTTCAAGGTCATTTGAAAATTGTTTTTTTTTTAATGAGACTACTTTATTTTTTTTATACAAATTGCAATATTTGCTATAAAAAGTTGTAAAGATGAGATGACAAAAAAGTGAATAGTTTACGAGATATTTTATATTTTAGTTTAACGAACATAATTTAACATAAATTATTCTAAAATTGAAATAAAATAGTTTTTATCTTACTTTAATACTTTTATGCATAAAATTTTCTACGCACATTATATATAATTATTCATGAATTAGATCATAACAAATTATACGATAAATATACATATAACAATTAGTTTTCGATAAAAATGTGATTGTAAATAAATTATAAAATACAAGCATTTTATAGAATTTCTTTATTCTAGATTATAAAATAAAATAACTCTCATTCTGCATATATAAAGGTTTCGGTAAGACGGTTTTTAAGCAACTGCTCGGTGCTGTTTTATTAAATTTTTTAAACAAAATGCCATTCTTTTTCTCTCGCTTTTTCGCAAAAAGAAGTTAAAAATGTGACACTTTATATATACTACTGTTTTTATCAAGTTAACAATGTTGATATTGCTGAGCTTTGATTCGCACATCTTCTCAAGTAGCAAATTGACATCATTAAACATCAAAATGACATAACTTTGATGTTTAATAATTTAGGTTTGTTCAAAATCTCGGCAAACGCTTATAAAAAAGACTGATGTAACTCGTTTAGATTGGTATATTTGTCAGGCAGTGTGTGTGTATGTTTGAATGTGTGAATGAGAATCAACAATAAACAAGGAAGAATTTGCACCAACACTTAAAGTATGCAAAATGCAAACGCATTGTATTATAATTTTTTGATCTCATTGTTTTTTGGAAAATAAATATTTCGTACAATGTATACAAACATGTACTGGATGAACATTTGGAAACGAGAGTTTGGCTAACATTGGAAGAAGTTCCTGTAACATATTGCTAAACAAAAAAAATTATAATCTGCTAATAAAGCTTTGCGCTAAATCATTCTCTGGTATATTTCATCATTCGCTCAGTAAACCAGCATTATCAAGGAACTTGATTCTTCTCATGTCGCAGCTATTTACTGTTGAATGATATTCGATAGCGAAAAAACAAAGAGAACATAAACTCGTTGGAAATATTCATAGTTAAACTTAGAACGTATAAACAACCCCAGACCAAGAATCTTGGTAATATTTGCACAATTGTCATTCAATATAGCTATCACACTAAATAACTGTCGTTTCCCTCTTATATATACGGCAATGTTCTTACAACAAAACAGTTTTGCCATGTTTTCGTCCGTTTCTTTTCGATAAAAATGCTTATATTAATACTAAGTAATTATCATAATGTAACGACAATGCTGGATGATGATGATTTCATTTCTCTGATAGAGGCTCGAGCATCGATTTCGAATATTCCACAAGCGTTTTTCAAACTTCGTCGATCAAAGGAATGTTCTTTCAAATTGCTCGTGTTATCAAGGCATTTATTATCCATTGTTCGGTCTGCTGGCCAACCGTTTATCAGTGCGATCTGCCGATTGCCGATAGCTTTCGCGCACGCGCCCGGGCTTCCGTGCGAATACTCGTGTACTCGAACCATAGGACATTAGGAATTAAAGTCGTGTCGCGCAGCAGCAGGTACTCTGATATTCGCCTGAAAAAGAATAGAGTATATCAAATAAACAATATTATCGCTATTATTATTGTTATTATTATTATTTGCTATTATTGCCACCATCCTCATCATTAAAATATGAAGAACAATAAATATCTTTTAAGGAAAAAAGTGAGACAGTATTTTTTAAGCAATTCTCTCACATTTTATTATTATTATTATTATTATTATTGCTTAAGGGGATGTCTCAGTGAACTTCGACAAAATAGTAGCGCTCTCATTTTGGAATTAACAATATCGGTAATTAAGTACAATGCCTCTTTTAAAAATAGACGAAACATATAATATGAGTTGACAATTCGTCTATCATTTGACGTCATATAAAGATAAAAATAGATAAGGAGAACTATAATTATTTCTTGTTTTTTCCCTATTAAATCGAACTTCCTTGGGATCATTGATGTATGTATTGCAGTCGTAGAGAAGCATTTTTAATTCCGTCTAATTAATGCGACAAAAGACTAGAAGTACGAGAATAATGATCGATAAAACACAATTGTGAAAGATTCCCTTAAAAAGGAACTGCACTATATTTTTTCTTAGAAAGTATTTATTCAACAGATTTGAAATTTATTTGCAATATACAAATAAATTTTCAGCATGCATTTTCTCGCATATGATGTCACAATCTAACATGGCCGACTATTTTTTTTTAAACTTTAAATCTGTAGAATACTTTTGAAAAAAAATGTGATGCAATACTTTCTGAGTAACCTTCATATTATTATAATAATAATTATTATTATTACTCAATCATTACTAACCACGAGACCACTATGGGAAAGAACGGCGTTAAAACCGTATGCATAATTATAAACCATGCAGTTCCCAATATAAGTCCAATTAGCGCACCAAAGAATACTTGTGTATTTGAGTGATACGCTAGATATACTCTGCTGTAAGTTACCAATATGGCTCCGAAAATGCATCCTATCGCTACTATTGTCCGCCAAAACTTCTCGAATATTGTACAGTTGTAATTTAACCTGAAATGTACGAGATTCCATGAGTCAATAAAATGAATGAAAAATATAGGCAGATGTTTAATAGTGAAAATCATGATTGAGAAGTCACTCGTTACTTGTAACAAAGTTACAGTTACAGTTATATATTTTTGGTAACTATAACTTTGTTCCTTTTTCTGTAACTGTAACTTAGTTACTTTTTTGCTAACTAGTAACTAATTTAATAGTTTATTTAAAAATTAGGACTAAGAATTTTTTGGAAAGTTACGACTGTCTAAAATTTTATGAATGTTTTAATTAAAAAATCTGAGTCCCATTTTTATTTCAAGTAAATAATATTGATTATTGTGTTAGAAGTTAATTTATTACAAATTATTAATTGAATATATTTAATATAAGAGTTTTAACAAGGCTCTGTAATATAAATATAAATTTAACGTATAAGACGGGCAACAAGAGCCAAATCGCGGATGACAATGCGTTATCCTAACGAAACTAAATAATTTTTCGTTAGAATTAAATACCGGTGCACAAGGCACCAAATTTTTACTTGGACACGGCCAAGATTTTAAAAATTTGGTGCCTTGTGCACCGGTATTTAATTCTAACGAAAAATTATTTAGTTTCGTTAGGATAACGCATTGTCATCCGCGATTTGGCTCTTGTTGCCCGTCTTATACGTTAAATTTATATTTATATTACAGAGCCTTGTTAAAACTCTTATATTTGATACACGCTGGCTTAAAAAATGCGTTTGTTTACCAACATTAATATATATAACAGAGAAAAGTATAGAATCGAAAGGATCTGAATAGCTCAGCTGGAAGAGCAGTCGCCCGGCAAGTGAAAGGTCTCGGGTTCGATTCCCGATTCAGCGATTTTCGGATCTATATTTTTCTCTTGCATTCATTTATTTATTTTCCGTAGGGGGGTTAAAGGGGTATTGAAATTAAATCTCAAAATATGAGATTATTTCATATTTAAAATCTTGGCCGTGTCCAAGTAAAAATTTGGTGCCTTGTGCACCGGTATTTAATTCTAACGAAAAATTATTTAGTTTCGTTAGGATAACGCATTGTCATCCGCGATTTGGCTCTTGTTGCCCGTCTTATACGTTAAATGAATATATTTAATATATGAAATTATTAATTTATCTAATATATTTTTATTTTAAATTTAAAACAGCTTTAATTTATTGCTTATAAAATAATATAGCACATCATCAAGCATGTAATATATAGTTAAGTAAAGCTTGAAATACATAAGATTATGTTTAAAATAGAGTCATTGCAAAAAAGTAACTAAAAAATAACGATTTGTTACTTTTTGAATTATATAACTGTAACACATTATTTTTCAGAGTTGGTAAACTGTTAACTGTAACGTAGTCATTTTTTCAGTAAAAAACTGTAATTGTAACTAGATACTTTTACAAACTTTCTCAACCCTGGTGAAAATATAATGAATCATATTTATCTAATTTAAATGTATAATTTGTTTACCTAAAATATATAAAAAGTGTTGCGTATGCAGCGAAGAACCACATAAATTGTGCATGAGTAGATGGCATACCGTATTCAACATACAGGCCATCTCTCTTTATTGGTCTTGCTTCGCGAATCGTGTGTTTCAATATAAAATTTATACAATCATTGATAATAATTCCGCTAAAAAATACAATCTGTAACAAAAGAAAAAATCAAATTTTCAACTAGCAATACGATATCTATACAATTATAAAAAAATTGTATTTACAAGTTTGATATAAAATTATTCTTCAACTTCGTTCTTCACTTACAGTATGTAAATCTCTCCTAAATAGTATTAATGCAATAAAACCAGCTATAATGGCAAAGGGTGTTAAACTTATTGCAGCTAATGCCATTCCAAAGAGATCCCCTGAAAAATAGAAAATGCACATCATTATTACGATATAACACATTATAAAAATAAAAAAATAAAATAAAATCAAAAAATGAAAAAAATAAAAATAATTTAAAGAAAAAAACATTTTCTTATAACAAATTTTAATATAAATTTGATTATTATTAGCAACAGCTTGATCATAATTCGTCCATGTGAGAACAGAACAGTATTGGTGTGTACGTGTGTATTTATATATATAATCATTATTATTATTGTTATATCAATAAAAATTCAAGAAAATAAGTGGAGTGTCAAAATTTTTGTTCTTTGTACACCCCGACGAGAAATATGAATCGACCTACTCTACCTTGTGGATACTCCACCAGTGTCAGAGACAACGGGACCCATTCGAGCTTGTCGGCAGCATTTGCGAAACGCGACTTGATCTGCTCGTCGAACGACTCCTCGAACGATGCCATTTTATCGCAATCGTCGAAGCAGCATGTCTCGAGGAAGATAGAGTGAGGGAGGGGGATGTTGTATTTACATCCCTGAATTCATAAATCGCATTCAATTGTCACCACTCGCCACTTAGCGTCCACCTGTCGCCGGCAGAACTGAACCGACCCCGCGAGAATTGCGAAACGACGAGGCCGAACGAGATAGGGAAAGCTGGAAAACCGAAGCCATCTGACAAAGCGTCGCGGAAACACTGCGCTTTGCTCGATCGGTAATCGAGAATTCTGTAATATACAAGGTGTCTCATTTTAATGTCCTAAATAATTTTTTTATTTTTGATCGTAGAAGAAAATGGTTCAGACAAAAGTTGTATGGTTTCAAAGGGGATGTAAGATGGTGCCATTAATTTGACCTTGAATAATTGCTTGAAGGTCACGTGAAGGTCAACTTTGATTTCTTAAATGGAACCACTTATTTCTCATTACATATTCTTGTAGCTTTATCTCGTAGCTTATTTCCAAAACCCTAAAATAAAATATTTTTTAGTACTTTTTGAGTTATAAAAGTTCGAAAATTAACAATTTTTTGACATTCTGTATATAGGTAGCAAGCTGACGTCATATTAAATGTCAAAATGACGTCAGCTACCTGGGATTTTAACTTACGCAGATAATAAAATATCTCTTGAATAAAATACATTTTAGAAAAAAAATGTTTTAGACAAAAGTTACAGAATTTTGAGAGAGAAAGAAGTTGGGGTTATTGGTTTTTTTCTAAAGGTCAATTTTTAAGATTATTTATGTTTTTTAAATGGAACTAGTATAATATTTTTAAATATAAATAAAATAGATTCCTTATAATATTTACTACAAAAAGTTGTAAAAATAACATGATCCAAAAATCAATAGCTTATGAGATACTTTATAGCATGTAAAATAATTTAAGCATTAAATATCTCGTAAACTATTATTTATTTTTGGCTCTTTTCTCTTTTATTTTTTTATACTGAAAATTGCAAGGAATTATATAAAGAATATATGACAGTTCCATTAAAAAAAATCTTCAAATGATCTTGAAAATCACTTTTTTTTGAAAAAGTTAATAATATCACCTTGTTTAAAATATTTTTTTTATGAAAATCTCTCCTCCAATTTTAAAGTCGACCAGACTGGCAATAATTTATTTAAAAAATTAGTTAAATTACAACGTTTCGGCTGTCATTGCAGCCCTTTTCAAGTAATCTATGAACAGTTATATACATATAAATATACTCTTAATGCGCTTAATCATACAAATAATTATAAATTTACAAAAATATATATGTTTACGTACCAGATTAATACAATAAATCAAATTTACAGCAAACCCCCGACAAAATTAACCATTGTTTTGATGAACAATGTATAACTGACAGAAGTGAGCACGAAAAAATAGATGTTGACTGTTAGCAGGAAACTTAGTCACTAACGCGTTGAGAAAATAGAAAACCAGAGTACTGTGTCTTTCGCAATTTTTAAAACGTCAATACAAAGTCAAATAAATAAATAAATAAATAAATATGTAACATATGACACAGTACTCTGGTTTTCTATTTTCTCAACGCGTTAGTGACTAAGTTTCCTGCTAACAGTCAACATCTATTTTTCGTGCTCACTTCTGTCAGTTATACATTGTTCATCAAAACAATGGTTAATTTTGTCGGGGGTTTGCTGTAAATTTGATTTATTGTATTAATCTGGTACGTAAACATATATATTTTTGTAAATTTATAATTATTTGTATGATTAAGCGCATTAAGAGTATATTTATATGTATATAACTGTTCATAGATTACTTGAAAAGGGCTGCAATGACAGCCGAAACGTTGTAATTTAACTAATTTTTAAATAAATTATTGCCAGTCTGGTCGACTTTAAAATTGGAGGAGAGATTTTCATTATTTATTACTGGCGACTCTTAAGGATTATCATTTATATTTTTTTTAAACTGCATAGTTCAAAAGATAATTTTACTGTATGAGTTAAGATGAGATAACCTGTATACATTACATATATATAATAAATTTTCATTAAATTCTATTTAAAATAATTTTTAATCAAATTTAAAATAATTACGAATTGCTGTCAAAAAAAGTTAGAGGGGAGGGGGGTTTATCTTTTGATATCGGATTCAGCATAATCGTATAAATTATAATTTGTCAACTATATATAAACACACTCCAGAGATTTTAATAGGTTGTTAAAAATAGTATTAAAATATCGACAAAAGAGTTAATATTAAAAAAAGGTAAAGTATAACAAGAGCTAAAGGAATGAATTATACTGGATACATAACGTAATATATACTTTTACATATCTTAAAGAACAATACAAGCTTTTATTTTAAACAGAAGAAACCTGTTATTGCAATTCATTATAAATAGCAGCATATACAAAAGATACTGTGAGTGACAAGACGCAATAATAGAGCTCACGTTTGCGAATTATTCTCTTATTTAATTGTATCTTATTTCATCCTTATGGAAAAAATGAAATGCAACGCGTGACAGATTAAATTTACATCGGTCTGCCCATGCCGCGTCCCATCGGTGGGCCGTCCTGAGTGCTCTTGGGGTTTTTAATGGTTTCGTCGACTGACAAAATAAGGCACGCAGCTTCCGTGGCGGCTGTCAACGCGTTGATCTTCACTATCGCGGGCTCCCAGACGCAGCACTGCATGTTATCCGCGATATCCTCCGTATTGATGTCGACGCCGTACCACTGCAAGCCTTTATGATGCTTCTGTCGCAATTTGTTCAGGATATTTGTCGCGTCGAATCCGGCGTTATCGCAGAGTTGCCTGTAACCCAACATATTTATTGTTCTATGATGCAATTTGCACTTTTACAAGATGATTCATTTTAATTGCTCCAGGCAAATATTTCGAGAACTGTGAGAGATATGAAAAAAATTTTTTTACTTCAAGGGGAGCATAAAATGGTATCATCAATTTAACCTTGTATAATGTGAAGGTCATCTTCAATTTCTTAAATAAACCTACTATTTTTCATCATATATTTCCAAAACACTATAATAAAATATATCTCATAGTTTTAGTAACATTTGCCTTGGGAGATTAAAATGAATCACCCTGTACAAATATAGTGTATAAAAGGTTGCAATGTCCTTTAATTTTATTAAATTTAACTAAGACTACTAACATTAAAAAATGTTTCAGACCAAAGTTGTAAAGCTTAAGATCTATTTACTGAAGCTAGTAGTTTGATCTTAGATGAATGCGACTAAAATTAGGACAAGATCACCTTGAATTTTTTAAATGGAATTATTCTATTTTTTATATAAATTGAGTCCTTGTAATATTTGGTATAAATTGTTAAAAGAATGGTCAAAAATTAATATTTATTTATATATAATTATATATAATTAATAGTTTATTATATAAAAATTATTAGTTATGAAATATTTCATAGTTTATGTATGTAAGATTATATCAAGTAAAGATGATCCTAAAAGCTACTGTTTTACTGATAAAACACGAAGCTATAGTTTATGTAAAATTATGTCGAATTTAAGTATTAAATATCTCGTAAACTATTCATTTTTTGACTCTTTCATCCGTATAACTCTTTTTTACATCGATAATTGCGAGAAATAAATTATATAAAAGACATGATTTTCATTAAAAAAAACCTTTAATGACCTTCAAAATCATTTTTTTTAAGTTAGTAATGTCAACTTCTTTCTCCTCTTTAAAATTCTACCTTTGTCTGAAATATTTTTCACAATTAAAGTACTCGTATTAACAAACTAACGCTATAATTTCATGTAAAAAAAGTTAAAAAGGGGCAATACAAAATAAAAAGGAAAATTATTTTTTAACTTTTTGTTTTACATGAAATTATAGCGTCTACAGTTCGTTATTAGTTCTTTAATCATGGAAAAGGATTTTTCAATCTGTGTACAGTTAATAAAAAGATAAGAGAGCGAACTTTCCAACTTCGCGTTTTATCGGATCAAACTGATATACCTAAATAGACCTTCTTAAACTCTACAACTTTTAACTGAAACATTTTTTTCGAAAATAAATAATAAAATTAAAGGAGTTCAATATTTTTTGGACACTTTATATAACACTTATGTCGAATATGCCAACCTCGGAATAATTTCGAGAGCTCTCGCAATCGCTCCTATTAAGAGCTGCTCCTTTCCAGCGATCGTGCGAGAATAATCGCGCAGGGTCTTGGAGAGTTCCATCTCGATGGCACCACCCCCGCCTACCACAGCGTCGTTCTTCACCATGCGCCTGACTACCATGATCGCGTCGTGAAGAGACCTCTCCGTTTCTTCTAAGAATTGGTCCGCGCCTCCACGCAGTATAAATGTACAAGTTTTCGCCCGCGAACATTCATAAAAGATGTTGAACCTGTTGGTGGATACAATTAATACATCGTTACATTTAACACTTATATTTTTTAAATATATTTAATATTTGTTGCTTTCCATTTACATCAAAGCTCAAATAAATCTCACTTTTGTCTTTCTTTAATATAGATGTTGAAGAAAGACAGAAGTGAGATTTATCCGAGTTTTGATGTAAATGGAAAGCAACTATTATTATATTTATATTTTTGAATATATTTCTTAAATATGTTTTTCCATTATGTATGAATCACCTCTCGCCCCCAATCTGTTTCTCCTCAAAAAGCTGGCATGTTCCAAGGTCGGAGACCTTGACGCCGTGCACCGTTGTCAAGATGGCTCCGCCGCATGCCTTCATCGTCCTCTTAAGATCTTCCTCGGGTACTCTACCAGCGCAGAACATGTCCCGGTCGGCGAAATATTGTGTCGCAACGTCGCCGATCGGTAGCATGGACAATACAACTTTCGCGCCGCTTTTGTGAATCTGATCAAGCTTATCGTAAAGAATCTGCCATTCCGCGTCGACGATTCGCTGATATTCCGCCACGTTATCCACGCGAACTTCCGCGTTATCCCGTTCGGCCTTCAGTTCCAATTCGATGTTCAGCAACGCGATTTTGCACTGCTGATATTTCTTCGGTTGCATCTCAAAGCCGGCGTACGAGAAGGTCTTCTTGAAAGCCACCCCCCCTTGGATCAGTTCCGAATCTTCTAGCGCACCTCCAGATACCTGAGAGTGTATTAATAATTTATTAATATATGATATAATAATAATAACAAATATAATAAAATAATAATAATAATACTATTATAATAATAATAATACTATAATAATAAAATATAATGTAAATTTAATAATTTATTAAATTATATTAAATTTATATTATTAGTAATTATCGATGTTAAAGAGCATTGAAAAATTTAATATAATTATACCTTCTTAATGCCTATCATGTTGAGGGGAAGCAATTCGTCCAGCATCATGACAGCTTTGACGACTAACTTGCTAAAATGCTTCTTCTGTTGATGTATCAATTTTGAGCTCATGGACGTGGCCGCGCATTCTTCCAAAAGTTCAATCTGCTTATCTATGTCACTTTTATCTATTTTTACGCTTAGTTCATTAATCTTTTCCACGGCTATTTGAAGCGCGCGACGAAGAGCCTTAATAATTATCCGCGAGTGCACACCCTCCTCTATAAATGGTTTCATTTGCTTCAGAAATTCTCCTGCTAACAAGACGACGCTGGTCGTGCCATCGCCCACCTGTCAAACAAAGAATTATTCAGTTTTTCATCTTACCTGTCTCTAGCTTCACATCAAGATTACAAGCAATAATATGTTTGAATACTATCGAGACAATTATCTTATCTTCAAGATATTGCCAGTCTTAGATTCTAAATTTTAATATCCTCTGAATTTTTATTAACACGTAACAATGTTACTTTCATATTAAACGTATCTTTAAACTCTTTTCAGAGGAAACAATGTTAATAAATATGCACAATTGTTAATAATTTTTACTTCTGCATCTTGTGACTTTGCAATATCCACTAGAGTCTTCGCAGCTGGATGAATAATATCCAGCAACTTTAAGATGGTAGCACCATCATTTGAAATCGTGCTCTTTCCATTTTGATCGACTATAAGTTTATCCATGCCACGAGGACCCAAGGTAGTCCTAACAGCGTCCACAACAATTTGACATGCATTTATATTGGATATCACTTGTTGCTTCCCCTGAGTCGCATCTGTGCCTTCTTTCAACAGAATTATTTGAGGTTGCTATAAAAAATTAATACACAAAAATTAACAAAAGAGAGAATTTTATATATCGATAGAAATATAATATATAAATTATTTATAAAATATTAATATTAAAATATACTATCATAATTTGTTTTATTATTTGTAAAATATAAATATTTATTATTATTTATTAAATGTACTGTGTAAAAAATACCCTCGCGTATTTTCCCATTTTTGACGTTTGTGATACTTTTTACGTAATTACTTAATAAACTGAAGTCTCGGCGATGTGTCCGGATGAGAAATAAATGAAAATCGAAATATAATTGAAGATCTACTACGTCGCTAAGATCAATCTTTTAATTAACAAGCAGAACCGAATGGGGCCGAAATAATTTTCCATAAAGTAGTTGTTTGTCGATTTTTTTTTTACACCTTCAATTTTACGAATTCTCTTATATCCTTATAAGGTTATAAAATCGGATCGCAGTCTTTGAGGAGCCGACAGTGGAAAAACAGATGATTTTTGTGTGGGAACATTTGTCAGTATAATTGATTTATTTATCGAAATTTATTTTTTATTTAGATAAAAAGTATTTTTCATTAGATAAAAAGTAAATTAATGAAGAAATAACGATGAAATGCCGCTTTACATGAGAAATAGGGTTAGCGTGGTCAGGAAAATGTTTATAGTGAGTTGCAATGATATAATTTACAAAACAAATTTTCTATTAAAATTTACCATGTTGATGTTTGTGATGTAGGGTATCACACGCTTTCGAAAATTATTTTCTTGATATTTCTAGATTAATTAATGTTTCCTAGAACGAAACGCGCCGACAAAAATTGACGAACAAAGAGTAGACGTTCTTAAGATTTGGATACGGGCACAGAATCACAGTTTAGCTATAACCAGTTACGACAGTAGCGTCGGAACCTTTGATGTTCGTGTCCCTCAGTCACGTGATCATCCGTCATGTTCTTGATGGTATAAAAGCGCGTTATTCAAAGATATAGAATACAAAAAAGTACTGATCTATATACTAATTGGATAGATTATATCCAAAAAAGTATTCTGAATTGAAACTCACTCAGCGCCTCGGAATGTTCAATAAGGTAAAACTAAATACTGTCATGGCATTGTTTTTTTTTTACAATATTCACAACGAGACATTTTAAGTATAAAATAAAATATGATTTTGTATATAATTTTATAATATAAATTATATCACCGAACAAAAAAAATTACTTATAGGTTATAAGATAAAATAAATATCCACTTGTCAAATGGGATTGGCTCATTCCGTTACTCTCGACAAAATGAGCGAACCCCATTTCGTACTGCTTACTGCTTACTCTTTACAACTACGGATGTTATTAAACCCGATTAAAGGTATCATTTCATGTGCAGCATACTGCCGTAGCAGTTTGTTGCTATTGGTGAAGTTCAATTGAACTGTGACGTCCCGCCATTGGTCGAAACCCTAATTTTCTTGCGCTAACATCATTTCTTGCGAGAACCTACATAATTAATTATTTTGAGAATAATTTAACTTAGAATTAGACGTTTTTATCATTTATCGTTAGTAATACCACAGATTAATAGACAGATCGCCAAAGGTCTGGATGAAGGAGAGACCAGCATTTCTCACTGATTTCAGCGCCATATCGTAGTAGTGGTCAATGCAGTAACTATTAATACGTTCCCAAGATAAGAGCGTCTCATGCTCATGAACTCGTCCGGCGGCATGTACGAGATTTATCTTTTCGTAGCGTTCGCGTATTTCGGAAAGGACAGAATTTTATGATGTTATAAATAAATAAATAAAATATTAACCTGACCTATTATAATTATTTTTTAATAAATGTTTCATTATTATTATCATCTAAGTCTAAGTCGTTTAATTAATTTTTAGTTTTTTAATAATTAATTTAATTTATTCTAATCATTTTAATATGTGAAAAATACTAATACGTATACGTTTTATAACGAATTAAATATATTTATGTTCAAAAATTATATTTGACCTTTAATTTTAATTTTGTATTTTATTAAAATTAATAATTAACATATATACTTAATTGCGAATTATATGGATGAACAAAATCCCTATTATGTGTGTAAGAGATTTCGGAACTCTTTGCTAAAATAATTAAAATTAAAAGTCAAATATAATTTTTGAACACTTTTATATTATTAAAAATATATAATTCGACTCTCGAAATATATTAATTCATTATAAAACGTATACGTATTAGTATTTTTCACATATTAAAATGATTAGAATAAATTAAATTAATTATTAAAAAACTAAAAATTAATTAAACGACTTAGACTTAGATGATAATAATAATGAAACATTTATTAAAAAATAATTATAATAGGTCAGGTTAATATTTTATTTATTTATTTATAACATCATAAAATTCTGTCCTTTCCGAAATACGCGAACGCTACGAAAAGATAAATCTCGTACATGCCGCCGGACGAGTTCATGAGCATGAGACGCTCTTATCTTGGGAACGTATTAATAGTTACTGCATTGACCACTACTACGATATGGCGCTGAAATCAGTGAGAAATGCTGGTCTCTCCTTCATCCAGACCTTTGGCGATCTGTCTATTAATCTGTGTCAGTGATATGTTGTCGTTGTCTCGTAGGACGATACGACTTTCTCTTTAGAAAAACGGTCCCTCAAACCGCGAGATGGAAAACTGGTCATGCTCTAAATGCAGCCACGTAAATACATATAAGCTTCTCCTCTCCTTAATTCGGAGATTCAGTCAGCTATTCTACGACGATCACGATGAGATTATTGGTGAGTCAGGCCGCGGACTATATGCAAATACAGCATGTTTTGCAACTAATGATACAACGGGAAGATAATAATTTTATAGAAGATACGAAAATTCTATAAAATAACATATACACACATAAGTCAAAAATGTAAAATGAAATTTTTTATATAAGGCTACTTATTTACGCGAAAATTATATAATAACATATTGACGACTTTGTGACGACCCGATTAGCCGTCACTAGTCGCCCGCGCTCGTGTAAACGGCCCCTTTCGGGGCCACCACACGAATACGTTGGGAATCCGCCTTTTCGCCCCCACCCGTCACTCGACCCCCTCCAAGCTAGTCTTAGAGTGGGGTGGCCGACGGGTATAAAGAGCGGCGCAGCCGAGACTTCGACACCAGTCCCGTCCTGGTCCCTCGAGCGTACTCAGGGATCACTCCTCAACTCCCACACTCCAAATCACCCCGGCCGACGAGCGTTCTCGTCGTGCAGGCCGAGCGTTCTCGGTCACCGGGTCCTGTCCGTAACTCACCCCGGCCGACGAGCGTTCTCGTCGTGCAGGCCGAGCGTCCTCGGTCACCGGGTCCTGTCCGTAAATCACCCCGGCCGACGAGCGTTCTCGTTGTGCAGGCCGAGCGTTCTCGGTCACCGGGTCCTGTCCGTAACTCACCCCGGCCGACGAGCGTTCTCGTCGTGCAGGCCGAGCGTCCTCGGTCACCGGGTCCTGTCCGTAAATCACCCCGGCCGACGAGCGTTCTCGTCGTGCAGGCCGAGCGTTCTCGGTCACCGGGTCCTGTCCGTAACTCACCCCGGCCGACGAGCGTTCTCGTCGTGCAGGCCGAGCGTTCTCGGTCACCGGGTCCTGTCCGTAACTCACCCCGGCCGACGAGCGTTCTCGTCGTGCAGGCCGAGCGTTCTCGGTCACCGGGTCCTGTCCGTAACTCACCCCGGCCGACGAGCGTTCTCGTCGTGCAGGCCGAGCGTCCTCGGTCACCGGGTCCTGTCCGTAAGTCACCCCGGCCGACGAGCGTTCTCGTCGTGCAGGCCGAGCGTTCTCGGTCACCGGGTCCTGTCCGTAAATCACCCCGGCCGACGAGCGTTCTCGTCGTGCAGGCCGAGCGTCCTCGGTCACCGGGTCCTGTCCGTAAATCACCCCGGCCGACGAGCGTTCTCGTCGTGCAGGCCGAGCGTCCTCGGTCACCGGGTCCTGTCCGTAAATCACCCCGGCCGACGAGCGTTCTCGTCGTGCAGGCCGAGCGTCCTCGGTCACCGGGTCCTACCTGAAAGTCACCGGCGCCCGACGGAGCTCGCCCTTCTCAGGGCGCCCGTACGCGTGTCCGCGTTGGAAACTCTAGCAATAAGTCGTGTCCGCGTCCGTATAATCTGGTCGCGTCTCGTCCGTAATATTTCTATCCGTCAATCCTAGCAATAAGTCGTGTCCGCGTCCGTATAATCTGGTCGCGTCTCGTCCGTAATATTTCTATCCGTCAATCCTAGCAATAAGTCGTGTCCGCGTCCGTATAATCTGGTCGCGTCTCGTCCGTAATATTTCTATCTGTCAATCCTAGCAATAAGTCGTGTACGCGTCTGTATCATCTGGTCGCGTTTCGTCCGATTATACTGTGCTGTGTATAATGGTTTGAATCACGGGAGAACCACAGGAAGGTGGCCCCGAATAAACTCTACTTTTACCAGAGCAACCGTGTGTCATTGTAAATCTGAGTCTCCCCTCTTCCCGAATCCTGGCACCGACGAGCCGATCCGTGGCGTCGGGAAAGGTGCTTCGTTACATGGCGCCCGAACAGGGACCTGACTCGACCGTCTGAGACTCCGGTTTGCAATCCACATGCTTGGGTGGATCTACCGCCTAGATAAAGAGGAAGCCGTCCGATACCTCGCCACCCGCGATCTAGACCCAGAAGGGAGATTAATCGACCTCCGCCGCCGCATAAGAGACCACGTAATGGCCAATCAGCCAAACACCGGAGCGGCCGAAACGCTCCACGCGCCGCTTAGCCGCGAAGAACGTTACCGGAGTGCACGCGGAACCCCCGAACCACCAGAAGCCGACCCGGCTAAGGCCCTCAACCAGATACGCAAATGGGGATGCCATTTTGATGGTAAGGACCCCCTCGCTTTCCTCGAGCATCTGGAGGAACTCAGTGTGGCCTATGGTCTGGAAGACCACAATCTTCTCACCGGTCTGTCCGAGCTGTTAAAGGGCGACGCCCTTCTGTGGTGGCGAAACACCAGAGAACAGTGGTCCACATGGGCCGGGTTCCGAAAGGATTTCTTGGCCCAGTATCTATCACCCGGGTACAAACGACAATTACGACGGGAAATACAAGGCCGGCGACAGAAGCCAGGAGAGGCGTTTACGCGATACGCTACCGCCGTACAGACAATGATGCGTCGGGCTGGCGGCTACACTAGCCAGGAACGGCTCGAGCAATTATACGAAAACGCCGACCCGGAACTCCAGCTATACGTTCGATTGGACGAACTGCACTCCGTTTCCGCGCTATGCAGTCGTGCCGCCGAGTGGGAGGAAATCCACCGGCGTCGCCAAGAACAACGCCGCGAAACATTACGGTCCACCGAGGCGAATCTTGCCGCCACTACCTATGACCGTGCGAGTTGCTGTTGGCGATGCAAACAGCGAGGGCACACACGACTCGACTGTCGCCGCCCAGCACGGAAGTTCTGCTCGCAGTGCGGGAAGGATGGCGTCCTAACGCGAGACTGCCACCCTCCGACGGAAAACGACCGGCGGGTCGGAAACGAGGCGGCCATCGTCCGACCCGCGTCCAGATAGAGTACACACCGCGGCCGCATTTACCAGTCCAGATTCACCGATTCAACACCTGGGCACTTCTCGATTCCGGATCCGAAGTGTCGTTTGTGAACGCCGCCATGGCCAAACGCTTGTCTGATCGCGGCCTCCAGATCCAGCCGTCCGAAGAACCGGTCAACTTAGCCGACGGCTCCAAGGCACCCACCTCCGGTTCGATCCGCTTCGCCATCCGAGTCGGCCCTCGCTCTGTCCGCCACCGCTTCCAGGTCCTGGATAACCTCAGCAGCGAGGTACTAATCGGAGTCGACCTATGGGCTCGGTTACGCATTACGCTGCCGCCTCCCCCATCCAACCGACCAGGGAGGACGGCTCCGGTCCAGGTGGCGTCTGTCTACGGCAAACTGTCCGCCGGAATCTCCCCACGCTCACCAGAGGAAGACCAGCGTTTCCGGCAGTTCTTGGATACCGAACTCCGGTTATTTGAGTCCGTGCAGGGGCCCACCGATCGCACCAAACACCAGATCAGATTGCGGCCTGGAGCCCCAATAAAGCAGAGATACCGACCCCGTAATCCGGCCATGCAGGCCGTCATTGATAGCGAGGTGAATAAAATGTTGGAAGCCGGAGTGATCGAACCGTCCAACAGCGCCTGGAGTTCCCCCGTAGTCCTCGTCAAGAAGAAGGATGGAGGACACCGATTTTGTATCGATTTCCGCAAGTTGAATCAAGCCTCCGACAAAGATGCCTACCCACTGCCGCACATCCTCGCTACCCTCGATAAGCTCCGAGGGGCCCAGTACCTTTCAACACTAGACTTAAAGGACGGATATTGGCAGGTGCCACTAGATCCGGTCAGCCGTCCAGCCACCGCCTTTACAATTCCTGGGCGAGGACTCTACCAATTTAAAGTCATGCCTTTTGGGTTACATTCGGCACCGGCCACGTTCCAGCGGTTGCTGGATAGTGTCCTCGGCCCGGAACTCGAGCCACACGTATTGGTCTACCTCGACGACATCATCGTAGTCAGCTCGTCACTGGAGACCCATATGGAACATTTGGCCGAGGTCTTCAGACGGTTGAGACAAGCGCGCCTCCGCCTTAACCCACAGAAGTGCCACTTCTGTTGCAGCCGTCTCAAATATTTGGGGCATATAGTGGACAAAGACGGCATTCGAACTGACCCAGACAAGGTCAGCGCGGTAGCCGCGTGGACGACCCCGACAACCGTACGTCAAGTGCGCCAATTCCTCGGCGTCGCCTCCTGGTACCGCCGTTTTGTACCAGACTTCTCCACCACCGCCGCACCGTTGACACGCTTGACCCAAAAAAGAGCACGTTTTGCGTGGGGACCAGAAGAAGAAAAGGCTTTCGACGAGCTGAAGCGGGCGCTCACCACCGCACCAGTTCTTGCTTGTCCCGATTTCAGCCGACCATTCACCCTCCAGACCGACGCCAGCACGTGTGGGCTAGGTGCCGTGCTCACCCAAGAACTATCCGAAGGCGAACGCGTCATTGCCTACGCCAGCCGTACACTAAATAGCGCAGAAAGGAACTACAGCGCTACAGAGCTAGAATGTCTGGCGGTAGTGTGGGGAATCCGTCGAATGCGCGACTATCTGGAGGGTTATCACTTCACGGTTGTCACCGATCACCAGTCGCTTCGATGGCTGCAGAGACTGGAAGCTCCCACCGGTCGCCTAGGGAGATGGGTATTCGAGCTTCAGCAGTACGACTATGACATCCGGTATCGTAAAGGAAAACTGAACATCGTGGCCGACGCTCTCTCTCGTCAACCCGAGGCCTGTGTCATACAAGCCGCTCCAGACTGTCAATGGTACCGCCGCCTTTATCACCAGGTACAACAACACCCGGCCGAACATGCGGACTACCGCATCCAGAACCGACAGTTGCATCGACACATCCTGCATGATCTCAACTTCCACGACTCGCCAAGCGAGGAGCAATGGAAACAGTGCGTCCCGAAACCCCAGCGCGCGGAAATACTGCACCGACTGCATGACGACCCGACCGCCGGACACTTTGGCATTGCGAAGACCATCGCACGAGTAGCGCGCTTATATTATTGGCCAGGAATGTTCCGCGACGTCACTCGATACGTCCGTGACTGCCGAAACTGCGCCACCCACAAGGCCGCACAAACCTTGCCGGCCGGGAAACTTCGAGCCACCAACGTCACGCACCCGTGGCAACAGGTCTCCATTGATCTGGTCGGACCATTGCCACGATCGACCAGTGGCCATACCTGGCTGCTGACCATGCAGGATCGATTCTCCAAATGGATAGAGATGACGCCGCTCCGCCAAGCCACCGCCGCCAACGTCACACGAGAAGTAGCTGGACGTATTATATATCGTCACGGCTGCCCGGACACCATCGTCTCTGATAACGGGACTCAGTTGAGATCGCACCAGCTCGAGGGATTACTACGATCCTTCGGGATCAAGCATAGAACCGCCCCCGCCTACGCACCGCAGTGCAACCCGGTCGAGCGAGCCAACCGCACCATAAAGACCATGGTGGCGCAATATGTGGAAGGCCGACATCGCCGTTGGGATGAACACATTCCCCAGCTCCAGTTCGCTTTCAATACCGCACGACAAGAATCCACGGGATACACCCCGGCCTTTCTGATGTACGGCCGGGAGTTACAATCACCGCATCCCGACGACCGCCGCCCGGCAACGACCAGCAACGCTCCTGAAACAGTTCGACGTCGACTCGAAGACGCCTACGAAATTGTCAGAATCAACCTGGCCCGCGCCTTCCAACATCAACAGCGAAACTACGATTTACGTCGACGCGACTGGCGTCCACAAGTTGGAGACCGAGTATGGAAAAAGGAGCACCCGTTATCGAACAAAGAGCGCGGCTTTAATGCCAAACTAGCACCAAGATTTGGTGGCCCGTTGACGATCAGACGCATCATCTCCCCCGTCATCGTGGACCTGAAGGACGACCGAGGTCGATGGCATCGGCACGTCCACGTGAGGGACTTGAAATCCGCCTCCGAACCGCGTCCTGCGACCGAACCCTAGTCCGATACCCGAGCAACGCGCGCCGATTAACGCCGCCGGTCAACCGTTAGGCATGTTCGCGGTTTCGAATCAAAATACGTGGAGCGGCACTCTTCATGGTCCGCGTCTTGTCGAAAATCTTTGGCCGAATACCGGGAACGACATTCTTCATGGTCCGCGCTTTGCCACCCGGTCCCGAACCGAGAGCGGCACTCTTCATGGTCCGCGCTTTGCCACCCGGTCCCGCACCGGGAGCGGCACTCTTCATGGTCCGCGTCCAGATCACCGAGGGGTATAAAGAACGGGCACCCTTGGGTCGGAACTCATCCCGTCACGATGGAAACACCAAACGAAGAAGCAAACCAGCGCTCAAAAGAAAATCCGTCCGTTTCCGGACGAAATCTGCCCGTTTCCGGGCGAACCACCCGGCCAGTACCGGGAATAGGGACCCGCATCCAGCGGTCCGACGCCGAGCAGCGACGTCGGAACTTGGTGCTCTTGGAGGCACCTCCGCCTCCCCCGGGCAGACGCCGACCTATCCCGGTGAACACCCGGCATCGACGACCACCGGTCCTCTCCGACTCCCCGGCCTCCACCGTCGCCGGCGTCACCAGGCCCACGACGACACCGGCCAGCGCACGCCAGCCCGCTCGACCATCCGCGAACCGATCGGTTCCCTCAACCGGCACCCGCCGACACACGCCATCCGCTGTCGCACCGCCAGCCACCACGCGCCAGTCAGCGACGCCGACGAAGCGGACCAGCCAGCGCATCGCGCCAACACAGGCCAACAGGTGCGATCCCTTGTCGCGCCACCAGCCAGGGAGCCACCCCAACCGGCACCACGCCGACCTTCAACCGGCCAGGCCCCACCAGTGCCAGCACCACGCCCGGGACCGCCACGACCCATCCAGGTCACTCTGGGGGATGGCCAAACCGTCGACATACCGTACCACGCCGCCACCATCTCACGGCGGTATAAGGTACGCACCCCGACGGGCCGGTGGATCATCAGATTCGACCGACGAGGAAGACCGCGAACGATCCGTCGAATAGCCACCCCCCCCTAGAAAAGGAGGGTGATGTGACGACCCGATTAGCCGTCACTAGTCGCCCGCGCTCGTGTAAACGGCCCCTTTCGGGGCCACCACACGAATACGTTGGGAATCCGCCTTTTCGCCCCCACCCGTCACTCGACCCCCTCCAAGCTAGTCTTAGAGTGGGGTGGCCGACGGGTATAAAGAGCGGCGCAGCCGAGACTTCGACACCAGTCCCGTCCTGGTCCCTCGAGCGTACTCAGGGATCACTCCTCAACTCCCACACTCCAAATCACCCCGGCCGACGAGCGTTCTCGTCGTGCAGGCCGAGCGTTCTCGGTCACCGGGTCCTGTCCGTAACTCACCCCGGCCGACGAGCGTTCTCGTCGTGCAGGCCGAGCGTCCTCGGTCACCGGGTCCTGTCCGTAAATCACCCCGGCCGACGAGCGTTCTCGTTGTGCAGGCCGAGCGTTCTCGGTCACCGGGTCCTGTCCGTAACTCACCCCGGCCGACGAGCGTTCTCGTCGTGCAGGCCGAGCGTCCTCGGTCACCGGGTCCTGTCCGTAAATCACCCCGGCCGACGAGCGTTCTCGTCGTGCAGGCCGAGCGTTCTCGGTCACCGGGTCCTGTCCGTAACTCACCCCGGCCGACGAGCGTTCTCGTCGTGCAGGCCGAGCGTTCTCGGTCACCGGGTCCTGTCCGTAACTCACCCCGGCCGACGAGCGTTCTCGTCGTGCAGGCCGAGCGTTCTCGGTCACCGGGTCCTGTCCGTAACTCACCCCGGCCGACGAGCGTTCTCGTCGTGCAGGCCGAGCGTCCTCGGTCACCGGGTCCTGTCCGTAAGTCACCCCGGCCGACGAGCGTTCTCGTCGTGCAGGCCGAGCGTTCTCGGTCACCGGGTCCTGTCCGTAAATCACCCCGGCCGACGAGCGTTCTCGTCGTGCAGGCCGAGCGTCCTCGGTCCCCGGGTCCTGTCCGTAAATCACCCCGGCCGACGAGCGTTCTCGTCGTGCAGGCCGAGCGTCCTCGGTCACCGGGTCCTGTCCGTAAATCACCCCGGCCGACGAGCGTTCTCGTCGTGCAGGCCGAGCGTCCTCGGTCACCGGGTCCTACCTGAAAGTCACCGGCGCCCGACGGAGCTCGCCCTTCTCAGGGCGCCCGTACGCGTGTCCGCGTTGGAAACTCTAGCAATAAGTCGTGTCCGCGTCCGTATAATCTGGTCGCGTCTCGTCCGTAATATTTCTATCCGTCAATCCTAGCAATAAGTCGTGTCCGCGTCCGTATAATCTGGTCGCGTCTCGTCCGTAATATTTCTATCCGTCAATCCTAGCAATAAGTCGTGTCCGCGTCCGTATAATCTGGTCGCGTCTCGTCCGTAATATTTCTATCTGTCAATCCTAGCAATAAGTCGTGTACGCGTCTGTATCATCTGGTCGCGTTTCGTCCGATTATACTGTGCTGTGTATAATGGTTTGAATCACGGGAGAACCACAGGAAGGTGGCCCCGAATAAACTCTACTTTTACCAGAGCAACCGTGTGTCATTGTAAATCTGAGTCTCCCCTCTTCCCGAATCCTGGCACCGACGAGCCGATCCGTGGCGTCGGGAAAGGTGCTTCGTTACAACTTTTTAAACTTGAACAATTTTTCGTTACATTTTCGAATTCATCACTCATTTCGCGATAGTGATTGTTAATATATAGACATAAAAACCAACATTTTCTCACCCCTATTTACTAAAATAATAATTAAAATTATTAAAAAATGTACATAAAAGTATCTAAAGAAATTAATTTTTTTAATAGAGTAAATACACAATTTTTTAAATAGTCACGAAATAAAAAAATGTATATAATCGTTAGAGATCATTTAAATTAAAAAGAATTTTCCAATTTTCAAAATTTAATGTCGATTTTTCTGAAAAATAAAGTCTCGTTTAAAAAAAATTTTATTCTATATTTTCAATTTATTTTTGTTTCATGTAGCATCATTATCTTTTCTGTATCATTAATTATGAAAGACATCTGCATTTTTAAATCTTTTATCTTTAGCTGCAATTTCGCAATAATATTCATAATGCGGAATAGAATATTGAGTCACATATCAAATGATTAATACTTTTTGTGTGTAGTGTACGCTATTTATACTCAGTCTGCTTCAAATAGTGATGTTTACTGCGATGATAAATTGCGATGAATCAAGAAGCGTTATACGTCACAAAATTGGAAAAAAAGGTAATATCGCAGACTGTGCGGCAATAATATTATAAAACACGAAAGCGCTTGCGTTGATAAAATAGTGCAAAATAATAAAAAGAAAAAGATGCAATTTCTTTCGATATTAATAATATATTTTAATAATAATATATTTAATAATATATTTTAATAATAATATATTTAATAATATATTTTAATATAATATTAAAATAACATTAAAATTAATAAGCAAGATGATAGGAAAGATTATAATTTCTCAATAAAATATATAATTGCTCTCCGCTTACAGATGATGTTGAACGGGTCAAAATAAAAGTTTTCCGTGGCCCTATGCAAGAAAAAAATGGTGATGTTTTCGCTTCCTGGGGATACTGGATCCAACAGCCCGGCAGATAATTTGAATTGTGAATTGTTCTTATTTTTTCATGTAACAGCGACAAAATATTTCTTTTTTCTTTTATTCTACGTATTTTATAAATGATATATATGCGCACATCAAAAAATTAATTTTGCAAGAAACTTTATTTCCCATACGAATTATATTAAAGACGTTTATAAAAAAAAAAAGATTTTCAATAATTATGTTACAATAGTTAGCTTCTACGATAAATAATTATATACTATGATTAATATTACTTAAATATTACGATTAATATCTTTGGAGCAAACTTCGGAACAAAAATATTAGATAGGAACGTGGAAATAAATATGTAAAGATAATAAAAGGATACGAGAAGAGAAAAGAGATATGTACGATTTTACGGCATTTTTATTATATGATCTCACCAATGCTTATTATATGTTTGCAATGCCATTAGTATGTTGTAAAACATGAATAGTTTTTACTTTTTATAATTCGGATTATTCGGATTCATTTGATTGGCATGGTTATCCAAATCCGTTTTAGTTCCCGCGCCTTGGTAACCTGCAGTATGCCCAGGGCCAGTTCGAGGATTATTCGGATTGCATTGGTTAGTACGATTAGCTTGATCTTTCGAATCCATCTAGAAAATACAAAAAAATAGAGTTTTATTAAATTAGATACATACATTTTTTCACACACATTATAGATTCCGGTCGAGAAATATCAAAGAAAAAAGATCGAAGAAAAGAGAATCGAGCAATCAAGCATGGTTAATAAAAAAAAATCATCACATAAAAAAATGTATAAAAATTTTATATATTGTTTTATTTTAAATATAGACTTTTTTATTATATTACTTGAAATATACACTATTTTATCATACTCAATATGTCTATCCCGTATATATTTCTCTACAGATCTTTCAATTGCAAATATTAAGTAGGATATTAATAAATGGTAGAAATTTAATCGACCAACTCTGGCAAATGAAGAAAATGCTCTCCATATGTACATATAATTTAATATGAAATTAATATATTGAGAAATACATTATACTTTTTATATTAAAATATATTTATCTTTCTCTCTCTCTCTTTGTTAGTTATAATTAATTTAATAATTTATTTTAACAATATTGTGTGGTGCGGTATATTAATATTCTAAAAGATGTAAAAAAACTGTGAAATCTCCAAATGATAATTAAAAAATGGTAGTAATTTAATCGACCAACTCGGGCAAATTAAGTGATCTTTATTCAATATTCAATATTCAATGTGAATATTGAATAAAGATCACTTAATTTGCCCAAGTTGGTCGATTAAATTACTACCATTTTTTAATTATCATCTGGTGACTTCACAGTTTTTTTACATCTTTTAGGATATTAATATACCGCACCACACAATTGTTAAAATAAATCATTAAATTAATTATAACTAACAAAGAGAGAGAGAGAGAGAGAGAGAGAGAGAGATAAATATATTTTAATATAAAAAGTATAATGTATTTCTCAATATATTAAATTTCATATTAAATTAGCCATTATATGTACATGGAGAGCATTTTCTTTTATAATTTATCCTGAAAATCATGGTGATCATGGGACAATATATTGGAAGAATTTTATAAGAATTTCTCTGATTAAAATATATTTACCACAATAAAAAATATTAATACGTAGTAAATTTAATCAAATATATTTTATTTCTTATTGTAATAGATCTTAATATTTCTATTGTGATAAATATTAATCAAAGAAATTTCTTATTGTGGGGGTTTTCAGAACATGAATAATTAAAAATAAAATATTATAAAGAGTTCGTCAGGATGTATTTGATTATATGGATACAGTTTATATAAGCACTTACTATACTCGATATTAACCCGAGGCAGGTAGGTCAACTCAAAAATAATAATACACGTGTGTCTCGGTCGATGTTTCTAATACGACTCTCTCGCTTGATATACATGCTGTCGCGAAACGGAATCATTCGATGATCATGCGCAAAGTGATCTCACGCATCACGGTTAGGACACGTGTCCAAAATAATACGAAACATTATAAACGCCTACATTATAAAATTCTTCGAATACATATTGTCCCATGATTACCATGTTTCAGGGTAAATTCTAAGAAACAATTCTATATGTGTACTACTAGCTATTGCACTATAATATTTCACTTATCAATTTTCAAAATCACGTATTATATTATTTTGATTATATATTCTTTGCAGACTTTTATTTAAGTATTAAATAATTCTTTTTAGCAAACATTTAATAAAATATTACAATGTTAAATATTAAAAATTTAATAAAATATTATTATCATCTCTACATATTATCTTCACATATTTTACATATTATAATATATTGCTCTATTTCTACTTACTTTTTTTTTATATTTTAAACTCGTAAGTATAGAATCATTAATTTTTAAATAGAAATTTAGAAATAATTTATGTAGACACTAAAAATCAATGAAGCAAATGTGCATGACTTACCTTTGATTTCGCAGTTGGAAGAAAACTTGTTATGAAGCAAATAATCGACGGTCAAAGCCATGTTCTATGTGCAACAGAGCAGCGAGTTTAAGACGCAACTTGTGATCGCCGCAATATTTATACCCTCTTCAATACCACAGATTAATAGACAGATCGCCAAAGGCCTGCCTAAAGAAGAGACCGCCATCTTCGTGCGATAGACTTTGCCCCTTACCGACACACTTTGCCCCTGGTTCGAGTCCGTGCTAAATTTCGTAGACTTGAACCAAAAGACTTTGCCCCTGGTTCGAGTCCGTGCTAAATTTCGTAGACTCGACCAAAAGACTTTGCCCCTGGTGCAAGTCCAGGCTAAATTCGTTTGACATTACCAACAGACTTTGCCCCTGGTGCGAATCCAGGCTAATTGATCATGAGACCAATTTGAGAGATTTGGCCCCCGTTGTGTGTGTGTGTGTGTGTGTGTGTGTGTGTGTGTGAGAGAGAGAGAGAGAGAGAGAATATTTTACATATATGCATATATATATAAAATTTATTAAATATAAAAAATATATTTTTTACACATAAAATGTTTTTTTTATTGAAATAATCACAATTTTAAATGTGATATAACACAGTGTTCAAAAATTTTTTAATTAAATTTTTTAATTAAATTTTATTAAAGAAAATTACTTGAAATTTTTTACATTAAGAATTTAAAGGCTCCTTATTCTCTTGTAGAAATTTATCACTACGCCAATTAATCACTTATTTTGAGTATTTAAAATACTATAATATACAGTAATTTAAGTATTCGAAATAAAAGTGATTAATTACTCGAAATAAGTGATAAATTGGCGTTACTAGTAATAAATTTCTATAAGAGTTGAAATAAAGTATAAGAGATAAATAGGCTATATGTGAGCCGTATGCGAAATGTGAGATGTAAGACGCATATTGAAATTTAATTTTTCGATATAACTTTCAAAAATGTACACGAGGTACAAAAAATTAGCTTGGACATTTGTAAGACTTAAAATTGGGATTAATTCTCAATTCTATTAATTAAATTTCGATATAACACACCTTACATCCGCGCACGGCTCACATATAGCCCATTTATTAGTGCAATTTTTAAGTTCCTTATTTTTCAAAGTTCACCTTTTTACGTTATCAAATATTTTTGGTACGTTTTCAAGAATTTTATATTTTTACTTACCGCAGTTTCTTATCCAAATGTAAAATCTTTTATCGCAGTCTATAAAAAATTGAAACAATTTACAATTTTATGATATAATATTATTATTATTACAATTTCTATATATATGCACATCTGTCAAATATCGTGATTTATTTCACATTATTATTATCTATTTTAATAAAAAAAAAACAAAAACACTTGCAACAATCAAAAATAAACCGCTTGCCGCGAACGGAGAGCGAACGAGATGATGAGCTTAATAGCTCATAATGTTATAAATAAATAAATAAAAAATTATAACCTGACCTACTAGTTATTGAATCTTTTTTTAATAAAATATTTCATTATTATTATCATCTAAGTCTAAGTCGTTTAATTACTTTTTAGTTTTTTAATAATTAATTTAATTTATTCTAGTCATTTTTATATGAGAAAAATAATATCACGTATACGTTTTATAATGAATTAATATATTTCGGGAACCGAATTATATATTCTTAATAATATAAAAGTGTTCAAAAATTATATTTGACTTTTAATTTTAATTATTTTATAGCAAAGAGTTCCGAAATCTCTTACACACATAATGGGGATTTTTTTCATCCATATAATTCGCAATTAAGTATATATGTTAATTATTAATTTTAATAAAATAAAAATTAAAATTAAAGGTCAAATATAATTTTTAAACACAAATATATTAAATTAATTATAAAACGTATACCCATGATAGTATTTTTCTCGTACAAAAATAATTAGAGTAAATTAAATTAATCATAAAAGATTAAAAATTAATTAAGGGGTTATACCTACCTGCAAACTTCAAAAAAATCGATTTTTGGATTTTGATATTTTCTTAAAGTACATACTTTCAAAAATATTCCCTGCAAATTTCAAGTCGATTCGACAAAAATTAACGAAGTTATGTGAGTTTAAAGGTATACTGGTGTGAACGTATCCTGCTGTTTAGAAGCAGGGTACAGAAACGGGTCTCAGGTATCGAACGGCAGCTGCGACGCGGACAAAAGCGGTCTCTATACAAAGCCAAAATATATATAAATAAATAATATATATAAATATATATAAATATATATATAAATATATTATTTGGTTGTGAACTTAATTTGAAACTTCAAATGCGTTTTTCTCAAAACAGCATTTTTAAAATCGGTGACCAAAATATCTCGAAAACCGCTGCATCGATTGAAATAAAATTTGGTAGACATCTTTAATACTAAAAAATCTAGTGCCCGATCGTGGCTTTTGTTTTTTCGTTGCGTATTTTTTTTTAA